CCAAGGAAAGGAGGCATAAATGACCATATTGGAGCAAGGGTTCCTTACTAATAATTGTGAGAGACACTGGTTGTGTTTGTTCAGCCCTGTGTGACAGAGTGGCAGAAATATCAGAGAGATCTTACAACACCTAGTATGCTAAACTAAGTATCCTTAGAGAAGAGAAACTCATTATGTGTCTTACATGGGAGACAAGCTGCAGTGTTGCCCATGTTACTCTCACAGCAAAGAGTATATACAGGAGTGCTTGAAGACCTCCCCAGTGACACTGTAGGACAATACATGCAGCCTACAGCTGGCAGCTTACAACAGCTCACAGCTGTCATCAACAGTTAGCATAAGTAAATTATGATTGAACTCACTCCCTGCCCAAGTAAATAACGAGAAAAGCAGTTTTAATGTGTGACTTCAGACTCCCTCATCAGACAAGCAAGGGCTAAGAAAAGCCAGGGAAAGAGTCCTTGGGAAGACAAAGGCAACTAACTCTTGAGTAAGGAAGAAGAGCCACTGAAGAAAGCAGAGGCATTTTCAGCCTCAAAGACCGGGAGAGATTAGGAAAGGGGACCAGAGCAAGGACCCTATGCACATGTTGAACTTAAAGCTGAATCCCAATTGGCCTCCAAGTTCAGGTTCCTGAGACTCCTGGCCAGTGAGTTATTGGCACCTACATGTTCCTGCTCAGCTTTGTTTAGTTGTAATGTACCTAGTTAGGCTTGTCTATGTTAGAGGATGGACTGTTACTTGGTGGCTCAGATGCTAACTACTCAGATTTAGAACTTTAGCAGCAGCAAGAAAAATCTAAATCCAAGATTGCAATCAACCACAAAACCACAAATCCTTAAAAAATAACCAGACTACATTATTCCCAGGGCTTTTCAACCTACTACTTACACTCACAAAACTGAGCCTAAGGCAAATCAGACAGAATTCAAGGCTTGAGGGGCCTGGTCTCTACTCCATCCCACACCACAACAACCCACAACAGAAAGTTTCAGTTGGGCAGGTTTACCTGGAGCAGCAGATCAGCACAGGTGTGTCTACAAACAGACTAACCCAGGAAAATTATGTCCTGGCTATGACAGAAACATGGTGGGATGTCTCCCACGACTGGAGTGTGGCCATTGATGGCTGCAAGCTCTTTTGGAGGGATAGACAGGGAAGGAGAGGCGGTGGGGTGGTGCTGTATGTCAGGGGCTGTTATGATTGCTTTGAGTACAAGTGTAGTGAAACAGGGTGGAGTGTCTTTGTGTTAGAATCAGGGGGAGGGCCAAGAGGGCAGATGTTGTAGTGGGAGTCTACTGTGGGCCACCCACCCAGGACAGAGAGGTGGATGAAATGTTCTGTAGGCACTTAGGTGAAATCTGATGATCACTTGCCCTTGTTCTTGTGGGAGACTTTAACTTCCCAGACATCTGCTGGAAACACAACGCAGCAGAGCGGGACCGGTCCTGGAGATTGCTGGAATGTGTGGGAGAGAACTTCCTGACACAGCTGGTGAGTGAACCGACCAGAGAAGGTGCCCTGCTGGATCTCCTCTTTGTGAACAGAGAAGGGCTGGTGGGTGATGTGGGGTTTGGAGGCCGACGAGGGCACAGGGATCATGAAATAACAGAGGTCTCTATTCTTAGAGCGACCAGGGGAGGGGACAGCAGAACTGACATCCTGGACTTCCAAAGGGCTGACTGACCTGTTTGGGCACCTGCTTGACAGGATCCCTGGGGAGCTGCTCCTGAAGGGTCCAGGGGCCCAGGAAGGCTGGGCGCTCTTTAAGAAGGAAGTGTTAACGGCTCAGGAGCAGGCGGTCCCCAGGTGCTGTAAGAGAAGCTGGCGACAGAGAAGACCACCCTGGCTAAACAGGGAGCTTTGGCTGCAGCTCATGGAGAAAAGGAGAGTTTACAGCCTTTGGAAGAAGGGGCTGGCCACTCGCAGTGATTACAAAGATGCTGTGAGGATATGCAGAGCAGAAATCAGAAGCTGGAAATTAATCTGGCTTCAGCAGTCAAGGATAACATGAAATGTTTCTATGTGAGCAGCAAAAGACACACCAGGGAGAGGCTCCATCCCCTGCTAGACACAGGAGGAAACATGGTAACAAGTGATAAGGAGAAGGCTGAGATGCTTAATGCCTTTTTTGCCTCCAGCCTCCTCAGTCAGAAGACAGAGACTGGGAGAACGACCCCCCTGCATTCAGGAGGAGATGGTCAGTGACCTGCTGCATCACACAGACACACACAAGTCTATGGGACCAGACAGGATACACCCGAGGTGCTGAAGGAGCTGGCTGGGTGCTCCCAAGCCACTTTCCATCATTTCCCAGCAGTCCCTGCTGACTGGGGAGGTCCTGACAGACTGGAAATCGGCCAATGTGATGCCCATATGTAAGAAGGGTCAGAAGGATGATCTGGGAAATTACAGGCCTGTCAGCTTGACTTCAGTGCCCAGGAAGCTGATGGAGCCGCTCATCCCGAGTCCCATCATACAGCACACGTGGGACAACCAGACGCTCAGGCCCAGTCAGCATGGGTTGATGAAAGGCAGGTCCTGCCTGACAAACCTGATCTCCTCCTACGACAGGGCGACCTGCTTGTTGATGAGGGAAAGGCTGTGGATGTTGTCTACCTTGACTTCAGTCAGGCCTTTGACACCGTTTCCCACAGCATTCTCCTGGTGAAACCGGCTGCTCGAGGCTTGGATGGGCTCACGCTTTGCTGGGTAAAAAACTGTCTGGACGGCCGGGCCCAGAGAGTTGTGGTGAAGGGAGTGAAATCCGGTTGGTCGGCCGGTCATGAGTGGTGTCCCCCAGGGCTGGGTGTTGGGGCCACTCCTGTTTAACATCTGTATTGATGATCTGGACAAGGGGATCGAGGGCACCCTCAGTCAGTTTGCAGATGACACCCAGCTGGGTGGGAGTGTTGATCTGCTCGAGGGCAGGGAGGCTGCAGAGAGACCTGGACAGGCTGGAGCCATGGGCTGAGCCCAACTGGGGGAGTTTCACTGAGGGCAAATGCCGGGGGCTGCCCTTGGGCCACAACAACCCCCAGCAGCGCTACAGGCTTGGGGAGGAGTGGCTGGAGAGCTGCCAGTCAGAGAGGGACTGGGGGGTGATTGACAGCCGGCTGAACAGGAGCCAGCAGTGTGCCCAGGGGGCCAAGAATGCCAATGCCATCCTGGCTTGTGTCAGCACTGGCGTGGCCAGCAGGGACAGGGAAGGGATCTGACCCCTGGGCTCGGCACTGGTGAGGCCGCCCCTCGATTCCTGGGTTCAGTTTTGGGCCCCTCACCCCAAAAAGGCCATTGAATGACTCGAGCGTGTCCAGAGAAGGGCAACGGAGCTGGGGCAGGGTCTGGAGCACAGGTCTGCTGGGGAGTGGCTGAGGGAACTGGGGGGGTTCAGTCTGGAGAAGAGGAGGCTGAGGGGAGACCTCATCGCCCTCTACAGCTCCCTGAAAGGAGGGTGCAGAGAGGGGGGGGGTGTGAGTCTCTTTATCCAAGTAATAAGCAACAGGACAAAAGGGAATGGCCTCAAGCTGTGCCAGGGAAAGGTTAGACTGGTTCTTAGGAAGGATTTCTTTGCAGAAGGGGTTGTTGGCCATTGCAATGGGCTGCCCAGGGCAGGGGGGGAGTCCCCATCCCTGGAGGGGTTTAAGAGTTGGGCTGACCCAGCACTGAGGGATCTGGTGTAGTTGGGAACTATCAGTGTGAGGTTAATGGTTGGAGTAGATGATCTTCCAAGATCCTTTCCAACCTAGACGATTCTGTGAGTGGCAAGTGCAGCCCGAGTGATGCCCACCAAGAGCACGATGGCTTTCAGACCCCACACCAAGGCTCACAAAAAGCCTTCCTGTAACCTGAAGACAGTAAGAGATACTAAATTGTGTCTTATAAAATTGTTTTGAAATGATCACTTTTCAGAGTTTTAACTGTATTACTCAGTCCAGCAGCCTTCAGTAAAACATCACACAGGCCTCAAATCCTCTACACAACCCCAGCTCTGCACAGTGCAGACAGACAATGCAAGTCCCCTCTCTCTCTCAGGCAGCCTGCCTGTCCCAGGCCCTGTAGGCACAGATGCATTTCCAGTGTTGTGGCTTATTGAAGGTCTCATCTGAGAGTTCTGGGGGCAATGCAAGAGCTTGAGCCCCATCATCTGAATTTCTTGATTAATTACACATATGTAGGAAATCAGTGCTCATGCCACAGTAATGTAAATCCATACTGTGAATGATGGTCTGGCAACATGACATTTAAAATAGAAACACAAAGCTGTTACTGATTTTTCAGGTTAATTGTTCAGATCACAAATCTAGCTTCATTCTAACATTCCCTCTCTACACTGAGTGAATGAAGCGGAATGTAGCCTCATGTTAGCAATTATTTTTGCATACTGTGCCTTCTCTATGTTTCCAAAATTAAATTAAAAATCAGGATTATGAGAAAAATCTACTAGACAATGCATATGTGACAACCATTTGCATGTTTAATAGGACTCATTTTCCACTCAGAACTGGGTGACAAAGAAAAATCAAACCAAACAAAACCCAACAGCTAACAGGATCTGAAATCAAAAGCCTCTCACATTTCCCTGTTACATCTGTCAGAGAAATGGTTACAGACATGACTGGGAACACCGTAGTGTTTATGTACTTTCCCAGAAAAAATAACAGAAGCCTCAACAGTAGGCACCATTAATATTAGAAAGAAACCAAACATTTTGGTGAAAGTCCAACAATATTCTGTTAGCTACTGACCCTTATTTGTGGTATATTCCAGAAGAGATTACAGACTTTCAAACTCAGGTCACTACAATGGTTGCTGCATGTGTAAAATGACTAAAAACTGATGCCTACCTACTGCCCCAAAGCTTCAGAGGACAGGCTTTTTCTCACTTTCAGTTTGGAACAAAAACTTTGCTTAAAAAGAAAGAAGTCATAATATAGTACAAAATGGCTACGTGAGTCTACAAAACAGAATCAACTCTTTAAAGCTAAGTAAAGTCTTTATCAATATCCCAAGACAGATTCATCCCAAAGTAGCTCCTCTTCTCTTTTGACATTTGTCTGTGGCTTCTTTTTACCCTTTTTTCTCTTTTTCTCAGCGGGGTTTTCGTTAAGTCTTTTGTCTTTATAAGGTCTTGATTTCTTCTCACTTACCAAGTCTATCTCAAATTTAATTCGCTTTTGCTTCTCATTTGCTTTACTAAAATCTGTATCCTCGCTATTTTTTTTTCTTTTCTGTTTTGTGGCTGCTTTCTTATACTTCATCTCTTCACTGACACATTTTTCCTCCTCAGAATGTTTTATCTGAAATTTCTGTTCTTTTCTGTAGGAGCTGGTAGAAGCAAGCGTAAGTTTGTAGCGGTCCTCTGATTTTGCAACCAACAAGCTGAAGCTCTCATCTCTCATGGTAGCCACCTCAGATGTTTGCTCCTCTTTAACATATTCCTTGTTATAGCAACAACTAGGTATCTTCTCTAGTGCATGCTCACAAGCTGATATCCAGCCTGGCAAACTGTTTTCCCCAGTATTTGTAGGTGACTGGGTTTTTAGGAAAAGGCTGGAACACTGGTCTTGTTCATACTTAAAGTTTGAAGATATAACCTTACCAAAGTCACTTCTTCCTTCCATATTTTTATCTTGAAACTCCACCTCTTCTGCTTTTCCTAAATACATTCTTGGCTCTAGATCTCTAGCTTTCTGAACTTCAATGTAATTTGTTAATTCATTTTGAAAGGAGTCATGTGTTTTCTTTGATTTCTTCTTGAGATTAGCAAGTGCTGTTTCTCTGCATAAACTGGATAGAAAGTCTTAGTTATTAATACTGAAAAATTTGCTTAGTATCTGTTGAGTTAAAAAAACAGAAATAATTTTCAGAGTTAGAAAAAGAACATATTCCAAGTGTGTTGTTCTGGGTAACTACATGGACCCCATTACACATGATCATATCACTAAAGCTGAAGTTACAGGAACAGATTCTACTCTTTGAAAACTGAAAATCCCGAATAATTTCATGAAGACCAAATGAGTTTCTTGTGATCTAGATAGAATGATGCTTTTAAAATGACTGCATACAGTTTTGAAACTACTTTTTAAAAAGAAAATTTAAGATTGTCTTATTAACTAATCTCCAATTAGCTGCAGATAAGAAGCAATTACATTATATACTGTCAAGTAATAAAGTTAACTAATTTCTTTATGAGATTAATTCTATTGAGCAGTTGCATACACTAATTTCAGGCAAACTGCAGAAACAGCAGAAACAAAATGGAACAGAAACAACCAACCTGGATTGCTTAAAACTCCCAAACAAGATAAATGTGCTCCCAAGGCAAAACTACCTATCAGTTTATATTCTACTCTCCCTTTCTTCAGGCTGGAAGATAAAGTGGTTAGATGACAAAGATATCCCTAGTGGAAAGGGCTGCTCTGAAGACCCATCCCTTAAATGTATCTTGTTTTGGCTTAATTCACCAGCTTTATAGATTCATTTTGTTAAACTGTAGATACGCCTGTAGCAGTTCCCTGCACTCCTGGTTTTGGGGACTCTAATTCTGTTGACTAAACAAACATTTTAAATCATATCAGTTCTACATCAGTCTCTTGTGGTTATATTATTACCTTCACTTAAATTAGGCCTTATCAAAATGCTTAACGTGTAAGCAATTTTGATATTTAGCCTACCTCCACAGCAATCTCTAAGAAGTACGTCTTAAATCACCAGAATATCCATATTGCCATTAACACAGCCTACAAGCACTCTTCTGGGTAAAAGGGGAGGTACAAGAGCTATCATCTATCCCATGAATGATTTTACGCCAAATGTAAGATGCATGTTGATGAATCCTGAAAGCAACACAATTGATGGAGATTTGGCACTTCTTAGGATTAAAGTCTTCTTTGCCCTGTCAGTAGGAACCTTTAAGTTCAGACCATTTCCTTCTAGGCTGAGCACTGAAGATGCTGTATCAAAACAAGTGCTGCTATCCCAAGATAGCAAAATAAGTAGGAAAACTGTACAGGTTTCAGGACATTCACCTTGGGGGTTATCACTGAAGATGCAACTGTGGGAACTCTAAGGCTGAATTTCAGTCACAAATATTATATTTAAATGAACAGTGCCCCTTTAAACCAGTGATCCAAACAACAAAAAACAAAGCAAAGCATAACACAAACCCAATGAACCTGTCAAAGTCACTTAACAGACAACAGGGCTAATGAAGTTTGAAAGTACAAACTACAGAGGAGTAGTCAAAAGACTTGTTGACTTACTTGATCCGGTGCTTATGTCCATGCACATGGGCCTGGTACATTTCTACAGATGTAAGAGTGACCTTACAGATAGAGCACATGTAATAGCCAACCCCAATGGCTGAAAAGAAGGAACACGCAGGTTAGAGAGACTACAAATTGAAAGGCAAAACTCAAAAAGACCCCAGCCCATGCAAGAGTCCTAACACAATGTTCCCATAAACAATGTTTAAAGACAGATACAAAGTCTTAGCTACACTTTTACACTAGAATATTTATGAAGAGAGCTGGTGAGGTGTACAATTGCAGTGTAACCACGGTTTAAACATTAACAAAGAGTATTTCTGATGACTAAAGTGATCCAAGATAATTCCAGTAAACTCTTGTCGTGTGCTGATGAGAATGAACTGTACTGAAAAATCAAATACTATTGTAATATCTGACCCAAAGCAAGCACCAATAGATACCAATCCAGTAAGTACAGACTTAAAGTAAGATCAGTTTAAACACTGCCTGCTCAAATGTTCATGCAGCGTTGGTTCAACCCTGCGAAGACGCTCAGAGAATTTTCAGTGCAGTACATTATGAATATGGTACACAAAGCCTCAGTCAAATATAAGGTAAGGTCAGATGAGGAAAACCCTTGTGTTTTCTAGGTTGTCATTTTCGCTTCTCCTACAGCCTGTGTCATCCACAGACTTAAGTATTCTGAAACCAGTGAGTAACCTTTTTCCCCATGCAAACCCAAGAGCTTTATCCCTTAGTAAAATGCAGCATTAACTCTAGTGGGTTATTGCTTTGCATCGAAACACATTATTTTGTTTAAATTATAGCATTACGGTGACTTTTGACTATCAGGTAGGATTTTGAATTCCTTACTAAATAAAGGATCAACAGATCTATTGCACAGGACCAGATGATGCCCCCCTCAAAACTAATGGAAATTGCACAGCTACAGGGCTTTGGCTTTGGGCACAGTGCTTGAGCTAGAAACATCCCTGACCAGAAGCTAGAGAACAATGACTGTTTAGGAAACAAATTTCTTTATATGGAAAGACTGAGATAATTATGACAACCAGTTTCATGAATAAAAGATAAAGGGAAGACATGACATCAGTTTTCAATTATTTAACGCAACAAAAAGGAAATAAATGATTCAATTGCTTCTTGTTCTGTGCAGTAAAGAAATACATTGTGGTCAGAGAGCACCAAGTTCAATGTCAGTAGAAGGTTTTAAGATCGAGAAGGTAAAGACCAGTAAGTCCTGGTAGATGTTTCTTATGAAGGTTGTGGAGTTTCCAGCACAGGCAGTTTAAGAACAAGGTGGATGAGCATCCTCAGAATGACACAGGTACAACTGATACTGGCCTAGGATTTAGGGGACTGGGCTATTTTCTATGACCCTTTGAATGTGACTGCAGAATGATGAGGACTGGATTTAGGTCTCCAAGTCACTAAGAAATATTTTCCAGCCTACAGCTGTCAGAGACAGAACTTTAGTAGTTCATAGACCAAACAGAAAGGAAGAAATGGACTTGTTCTGTAACACAGGAGAAGACTATTATTTCCTTGCACATATTAGAGCAGTTCTTTGAACAAATCAGAACAGATGACTCAAAGCTACACTCAAGAGATCACAACACTTGCTCAAGTTCTGCTTACCATTTGTGCTGGATTCTGCAGGGGGAGCTTTGTCTCCTAGCTCCTCCAGTATCTTTTTCCGTGCTACATTTCTTCTGTGTTTCTTACCAACATAATGCTGCTGGGCCACAAGTGGATTATTGAAGGGAGCACAGCAGAGCTTGCAAAACTTGTCTGGATCATTTAACTTCAACCTTATGTTGGAGGATGATGAAGACTCCCCAGCTTCTGAAGGCAGCAAGGGCTTCTCAGCTGATGGGTTCTGTAAAGCTGAAGACAGGGAAGTAGAGGATAAATCTGCTGACAGCACAGCAAAGGAAAGGCTAAAACAATTCCATGGAGCAAAACAGGTGACTGCAGAACTACAGAGCCAGAAAGGAGAACAGTCTGATGGGTGGTGAACTACTTGCAAGAGACTATAAAATATCTGAGTCCTTGCAAGGATATGAATGTACAGACTGATAAGGAATACAACCCTGGGATATTCAGAAACTCCACCATTAGATACCTAAGAATCAGATGTGTTTGATGGTGTCATGGTTTAAGCCCAGACAGCATCTAAACACAGCGCAGCTGCTTGCTCACTCCTCCCCACTCCCAGGGGGATGGGGTGGAGAATTGGAAAAAAGTAAAACTTATGGGTTGAGGTAGGGACAGTTCAGTAACTAAAATAGAATTTAGAAAATTCTATAATAACAATAAACAACAACAATTGTAATGAAAAGGAATATAACAAAAACAGAAATGAAACCCAAGAAAAGACAAGTGATTCACAACACAACTGCTCACCACCCGCTGACCAGTGCCCGAGCAGTGACCCACCCCCCGGCCAGCTCCCCCCCAGGTTATACCCCCAGCATGATGCTCTGTGCTATGGAATAGCCCTTTGGCTAGTGCGGGTCAGCTGTCCTGGCCATGCTCCCTCCCAGCTTCTTGTGCTCTGCCAGCGAGGAGGTGCATGGGAAACTGGAAAATCCTTAATTTCAGATAAGTGCTACTGAGCAACAACTAAACCATCAGTGTGTTACCAGCATTATCCTCACACTGAATCCTAGTACCTGCTGCTGGGAAGACAAACAACTCTATCCCAATCAAAACTAGGACAGATGGCTGGTCACTCTAAGGTCCTTATGGAGTCCGAGAAGAGAGATATACCCTGCAGAGGGTCATTCAGAGCACATACACTATGCTCCATTTTTAAATACAGTTCAGCAACTTGTACAGGACTAACACCAGTTAAGTGTTGTGCACGGACTAACTGTTTTTAAAAAAATTTATCATATTAATTTACCAGAGGAACATCTTGATGGACTGAAGTGACTTCTCAGAACAATAATAAATGCCCTTCATTAATAGAAAAAGCCAGAAATATTTGCCTTTAGTTTCAGTCAATAAGGATTCCATGGCTTCCAAGCTGCACAGGGTAGCATCTTTGTTTATTCACCTAAGGAGTTACCACAAGACAGCTCCAAAACTTTAGCAATATAGAAAGGCATAAAGACATGGCAAGTGTAGGAAGATACTTCTCTGTATTTGTTTCAGAATGACAAGAAAACACATGCAAAACAAACTATTTAGTTCCTACCAGAAACAGGCTGTGGTGCGGGCATGAGGGCTTGATCTCCTAATTGCTTCAGCTTTTTAGCATGGATCTTTCCCAAGTAGTGATACAGAGCAACAACTGGGGAAGTAAAACACATGCTGCAGAGATTGCAGTATTTGTTTCCGTCCACTACTCTACTCCCATCCATCTGAAACCAGATAAGGGCAAACTCAGTTACAAGCATTCACTGAAGCATACAAGGAAACGTTTTATTTAGCAATGACAAGGAATAATCACCTGAAAACTGACACAATCTGTTTTCTTCTGTTTGCTATGCTCCTGCCTCTCATTTTTCTCACCATGCATTTGGATGTAAAGACGAACTTTCTGAGAATGTTTTTTGCCCTGGGAAGAGACTAGAATTATTCCTGTTTCAGTAACAAGAATCCAAGCAGTGATATATCCAGTGACTGGGACTTCATCCATCAAAAACTGCTTTCAACACTTGCAAATTGGATTTGTATAAAGCAGAGCCACAAGTGGACAAACACCAGCTCATGTAACAATACTATACTTCAATCAATAATATAGTACTTAGAATTAGTCATAACATTTTGCCTCAAGCAGCCCTCAGATTCATCTGCTCTCAACCGTGTGGGCAATCAGAAATCCTGACATGTCCCTTATAAACAGGGACACAGAAATAGGTAAGGAAAGGAATGCAGCCATGCCATAGAGCAAGTTCGCTGTGCTCCTTTATAACTAAGCTTGGGGGCTTGACATCAAGGCTGTCTCATGTCCAGAAGAATGACAGGCAGCACGACTCAACTTACCTTCCTAAATAAGCAGTTTAGTCTCTCTGTACATTCAGTGAAGAGAAACAGGTTTCACTGGAAGTTGAATTAAAAGTATCTCCAGCTTGGAGTCAGTCTATGGAGATTTCTACACCTTTCTACTGGTGATACAACAGTCCAGGTAACTAAAATTAGATGTTAACTGATACTTCCCTCAGATGCAATTATTTAATTCTTAGATGTTCTCTCAACCCATAACCTTCAAACTCTTGCATTTGTAACACACCCACACGCCACACTATACAGTGGTAACCTACAAAGCAAAAGTAGTAACTTGCCTTCTCTGGTCTGATGCTTTTCAGATGTCTTTTAAGGATTCTGAGAAGTAGTGCAGGATATTATAAGAATATTATCAAAGAGAAGGGGGTCCTAACATACCTGGCTAGATAATATAACTGAGGGGAAAAAAAAAAGTCAGTTATTTCCATCAATTTGATTTGTAATGGTGGAGTCAAGTAACTTTACAATTGCATCCATTATCCTCAACTGGATTTGGATCCAAGAAACTGAAGATCAGACTGAGGGTCTGAACTCTGTGAAGTTCTGACAGCACAACTTCTGCTTAAGTTAAATTGAAGTAAGTAAATACAACACCTTGCAAGGTCTGAGTCTTAATAATGTGAATAGTAAGAAAGACTGCTGACAGCAAATGACATTTTAAACTTTAACATTTTTAAGAAGAAAGAAAAAGACATGCCTGTGCCTGCAACCCCCTCAAGATCAAGTTTCAAAACAAAGCACGCTTGCCCCTGCCTACACCAATATGCCAAGACACACAGTTGTTCCAAGAAATGCCTTCAGCATCATTCATACAACCTGCCTCAAGCAGAACCTAGTGCACAGAGCAGCACATGTGTATCGCTGCGTGAAGCGTCAGGAGGCACAGGCTTGATCCTTATAGCTAGCACTGCCCTGTGCCATACGTGTGTTCTGACTCACATGGTGCAGATCTGCTTCAATCCCATATACAGCATGGCCTGAACCTGCTTAATTCCTTCCAAATCCATGCTGCAATATGCTGGTGATTGCCCTTCATCATCACTGAACCCACAACTTTCACAACATTCAAGTCTGGTTAATGTCTAAGGCTAGCATGAGCCTAGAGAAACACACTAGAAAGTCTTTTATAATGTTTAAACCCCGTCCCAGTGCTCACTAGGAAAAAATTCTCCTTTCCAGCCTACCTTATAATGTGATGTCCTTTGAGACTCAGACTTCAGCACAGCCCCACAAACCTTACAGAAAGTGTTGGTGAAAAGGTCTGTCTTTGTTGCTTCATCTAAAGTGTCACCTAAATGGAAAGAGCAAAAGTCAAAAATCAGCCACTACTAAGGACAAGATATACTTGCATGTCTCTACTTACACAAAACATAAACCACTTGAATATTCATGTGCAGCACAGGATGAAGGAACTAATGTTCACCCACTGAATCACAATGTGCCTCACTGGCTTCAAAGCAACGCTGTAAAGTCACCTAAACCTTCATACTTACAGAAGTACTGCTCTCTTGGACTTATAAAGTATTACTATAAGAGTACCCAGTCTTTAAAAACAAAGATAGAGACTCTTCACTGGGTTTTCAGTCCCCTTCAAATAGGCCAGTGTCAGAAATACTTGACTAAAGGCGCTAGAAAGGATTTTAACTGGACTAGATTACACAGTTAAATATGTGAATACTCCTTAAACAAGAAATTTAAATTAAGTCTGGGAGTAGCTCAGTACATGAGAAGGGCCAGGTCTCAGATGCTTAGGAAGGTTGTATCCATGTCTCCTGTAACAATTTAACTGGTTTAGTTATATGGGGAAAAACTGCTCCAGTGGCTTGTTTTGATTTTCTTTGCCTTTTCTGAGTTAACTCATGGCCTGTATACCCTTTAATTCATACTAAAATTGGCTCAGGCTTGAAGCTGTTTCGGAATAATTGTATGTGCAGACACATTTGATTTGGGGGGAAATGCTCTAGTAAGCACTTGAAATAGTACCAACATCACATCAGTTAAGAGAATTAAACATACTCTTCAGAAGAGAATAACTGTGCTAGTAAAACCCTCACGAAGATAAAGCTACATCACTACCCATGTTCCTTCTCCTCTTAATTCACTAGGGAAACTGGTTTAACTCATATTGCTTGAAACACTTCACACCTCTCTGGTACAGGCTATGCTTTCAAGGAGCAAGTTTACCCATGCTGCTGTACCACTAAAACTTTCTCTTTGCCGACAAACTGTAAGACTACTTGTTTCTTTTTCATCCCCAGTGGGTCATACTAATTCCAATTAAGCTAGAATTTCACTTTTTAGCATGCTCTGCTCTTAAAAATAAGCCAAAGTTAACCAAGTTTACAGCAAAATTAAAGGAAGCCACATAATTGACAGCTCAACTAAAGCATGCTCTTCAAATGAAGCTGAGGTTAAAGGGAAAATATTGGGGAAAGTATTGTGATGTCTTAACCGAGCTTACTCCCACTAAGCTTACCCAAGGGTCCATCCTGGAAGCCATATGTGGAACAGTCGGCTCTGTGCTCTGCACGAAGCCTGGACAGATTGTGGGCAAGGAAAGCATTGCTCCCTGTGGCCTCAAGGCTCAGTGTCAGAAGGCATCTAGAAACCTCTAAAGGCAATCGGCTTTTACTATTATTTCTAAAGATTGTTCTCTTTGTCCCCTGTCAGAGGAAAGCAAAGACCAAGGGGACATGAAAAAAACAATACTTTGTATTGTGTTCTGTAACTCTAAATAATGGTGCTAAGCTGTGGGATGGATGATGACAACTGATTAAGGAAGGATTAGAGTCTATCCGGTCCCCCGCATTTGCCCTGGACAACACGACTGTCATCTTTACACAGGTAAAAAGCCACTTAAAAACCAGAGCATGAATTTCACTACAAGCTGTATGACATGTACTTCAACTGAGCCAGTAACACCTCAAGGCGCCATAGAAGCCTGAAACAAGGAACGCCAAACTGCTTTGCCAAGCCAGTGTTAACATGTGCAACCAGCTGAAAAATCTATCAGCAGCTCCACGGGCACTGACAAAACCTGAGGAGTGGCAGATGCAGAGATCTTTCTCAGACATGGTGAACCCCACTTCACTTTCCCAAAGCAGCACTCCTGAACTGCTTAATATACAGATCTTAATAAAACTGGCTCTGATGAGGCTTTTGGCTGAGATTGCAACAACTGGCTATCAAAACGCAGCTGTCTGGTATGGTTTACCATCAGTCCCCAATATAAGAATTCATTTTCTAATAAAAACTCTATTTCCATGAGGTACAATGGCCAGGTGATTAGCCCTTTAGAGCTTTTGTATTCTGTAGTATGAGTCATCCAGAAATGTTCAATATTTTAGTTATTGATTCACATAGTTTAGCCCCTTCAAGCAGAGGAGTGAAAGATGGGTACGATAACTTGAGTTGATCCACACAAGAAAATCCAGTGACTTAGTTCTGGGAGTTAGATGAAAGTCCATCTTGCACCTGAAACACACGACTTGCCAATGTTTGTAGCAGAAAAAGCCACTTACAGAGGAAAATTGCACCAGTTTACTCAAGTGTACTGCGCTGTAAAAACAGCTATCTACAGAAAAAGAAATGGAACAATATTCTCTATTTAGAAAAACAACAAAAGGCAAATCACAATGCAACTAGGCATAAGTCTATGAAATGTTATTACAATGGGCAGTATACGTTCTATTTCAATTTGCATAACTTCTCACTGGAAAACATATCTTTGTTTCAAATACAGACTTCTTTCTATTAGTTTAGGACAGTAGTCTATGCATATTTTCCTTGACTTCGCAGTGAACTGTTCAGCCTTCTTAGCAGACAAGAACCAGCCAAAAAACACTAAAAGCATTATACTGTGAAAAATTAAAAACATAATGTGAAATTAAAAACGTGGGTTTGTTCACCTTTTTTTCTTGGTCAACCACTGCAACGAAAAGATTGGATTATAGGCACCAGAAGTCTAGTTGTCCCTGTGCCTCCTGGAGCTGTCCTGAACCCTGTTGTCTCCTTGTGCTCAATGGCATTTTACAGTAACAGATGAATTGAACTAAAATATATTCTAGGGATGGTTTCAAATATTGTTCTTCATTGTTGTAATAGCTATTTTCATTCTTCAATATTATGAAAAGGTTGACAGGACTTAAGATTCTTTGTAAATTTATCACATCTTAGTTCTCTTTTCTCTGCGTAGCGTTGTCTTTTCTATTTCACGTTAAGTCTTTTCATTTTTCACTTAACACTGTTGTCCCTCTGCTTTTGCCCCAATCTTTTCTCAAGATAAGGTTATCTGAGTCAGCAGTGATGAATACAGAGCTACAATAATCTCAGTGAAGTCTCCTACATCAGTCTAACCCTAACAGAGTTGTTAAGCCCAAGAACTGGTCTCCCCCAAGAGAGAAATATCTACAAAAATAAAGACACAGAGTTCACAACATTTGCCTTGATTTTAGAACCTTAAAGGTTTGATCAACTCATTCGTCCTCCATGGTCACAAGATTAACACATATAACATGAAACAGGTAGGGTTTCCAAACAGTAACTCTGCTGGGGAACACAGACCAGCTGCTTTAATGCAGCTCTTGGCATTCACCTGCTGTTACATTAGCCACTAGCATAGGAGTTCAGCTGCAGTTTTGTTAATGTGATGCAGCCAACCACACCATAACCTCACCTGCTTTCCTTAAGCCAAACAAGGGCAGAACATCCTGATCCACAAAAAGGATACAGCAGCTGCAACTGAAGTTGGGCCAGAAGCACAGCTACCTAGCACTTCTGAAAACACAGAGCAGCCACTTTTAAAAACCCTGATCTGATAACTCTAACCACATGAAAACCTGTATATATAAACACAGCCTTTTTATTTTCTGTATAGTTAGCGGATTTTTAGGCAGATATATATGCCTTGCATAACATAATTCTACATGGTCTTCTAACAAACTGCATCGAGATAAGTTCAGGAATAAACACCAGGCAGTGGGTTGTAAATGGTCTTCAGTTGGGTCTGGGCAACTGCAGGCTCCTTCTCAGTGATAAGCACGCACATCAGCAGCCCTCTTCCCTAAATGACACTGTCTCTGCTAGAGTCAGGAAAAGGGTCACAGACAAGTCTGCCCTTTCTTCTTTTAACTATGTGTCAAGACCATTTGCCATGCACAGAAATGACAGAGCATGGGGAGATTTATGCCACCACTGCCTGTGTGCAACCAATTCTAAATTCTAAATTAAGTTGAACTTGAGGTCTCCAGCTTTCAGATTCACAAGACATCATCCTTCCCACCAACTAAGCAAAACTTTTTTTTTTTAAAAAAATAGCTTACAATACCATTTGCAATCATGCCATCAGAAACTTTTCAGATAATCAATCAAAAGCAGTAGCCTTGCAGAACTGCCATAATGAGTTTGTCACCTTTATGCCTCCAAAGATGTTCAGATATTGGTATTGTGAATTTGGAGCAACTGTTTGGATCAGCTTTTTGTCACTAAGAAATGGTTCACCACAAAACAGACCAACTACTGTTTGACATAAAAGGACTGCTCCTTAATAAAAGGGTAGGAATAAAAATGTTTTAGAAATAAGACGTGACATATCTTTTATTTAAAAAAAAATCAGTGTTCATGCTGCATGATGAAGTCAACCAGTAACTTTCAGTGTAACTATTCCCTTATTTTTAGTCTATTCCACACACACACACCGCCCAATTTACATTTGTCAACAGCCCATACTTTGGAGAAAAATATAAGTCTCTGGACTATCTGCACTGGAGTCCTTTAATCCAGCCCACACCTCCTATTTACTAATGACCCAGTGACAATATTTTCTCATGTGATTCTTAATAGGTCTTATGTGTTTGTCCTTGTCACAATCTTCTCAGCTATATTATGAAATCTATGGTACTTAGTACTGCCACAGACATGATGTGAGATCTCATGTTTTGTGAAGTCCACTGACATCCTCAGGAAAGACATACTATAGCAACAGTAAATATTAATGAGTACTCCACAGATCTAAAAGGCTGCACAAAGTGAAGTAACACACATAAAGGAATTTCTGGCAATCAAATCCCACTGAAATGCTAAGAGCAGCTTTGCAAGGGACTTCAGCACAGCCAACACCTTGGATACCTGTAAGGTTATCACATTAAGGGAAATGCAAAGATCCCTCAAAAATTTAACTCCATGTTCATGGAAAGTGTGGAGCATTGTTACAATTCCCTCTGGCTTCTGGGGTCAGAAATCCCACTGACCAGATTGGTGCTTCTCTTCAGTAATGGCCCTGCCTTATCTCACAACAATGAGATCACAAGGACTGATCCTGGGCAGTTTCTGAAAGCATAGGTGATCCAAACTTTGTTGGTGCTTATAGATGTTATCATCAGGTAAGGCTGTCATTAAAAGACACAGGGTCTCATATGGTAGATTAAATTGATTAGCTTTGGGGCTTCAGGGGTCTCGAGGGTGCCCTATTTACATGAAGATACATGACCACACAGGGCTGAAAACAAGAGTGCAGCTCTTGATTTGGAAGTGTCTAGAAGCACCAAGAAGGATTAGAGCTCATTTCCAATGGGTATAGTACAAAGATTACGGAGCTTCTGCTCCAATCTAAGGTGGCTGACCACAACAAAAGGATGCACACAACCAGGAAGGAGCCAGGATGGCAATGGACAATTACAGAAACATGAGGCTGCACAAATTAACCATGTGTATTTATAGATTTCTTATTTCAAGCAGACATAATTATCAGGTCACCAACACACCACCTGCCTCACCTGGACCATTTGTTTTGCCCAGTTATCTTTCCTAAACTCTTAAATACTTCTTCTCAGAGGGAACTAGGCTGAGAAATGTACCTGTCAAAGCTGGCTGATTAGATAGAATGAGAAATGAGCATTCAGGTACCACTCAGGCATAAAGCGAAAATCCAGCCAAGAAACTAGGTACCATCTTCCTGTTTCATCACGGATCACTTGCATGCCCAGAAAGAAAATGTGAAAGGTAGTCTAGACTTCCATGAATGTACAACTTGTAAACTGTCCTTAAAGAAAGCAGATACACACAGAGAAAACATTATTGTTG